GAAAATGTTTCCAAATAAAATAAATTCGTTGCATCCTATGGTGACCCTCAGTGAATAGTTAAACTTCTAATCCTTACGCCTTTGTAAACATTAAATGTGTTTCCTTAACGATTACCAAATACTATTGTTTGATATGGTTTTTCCTTGTTATAATCTTTAATAGGTGTTCATTAAATATATTAATTAGATTATTGTTTTTTTACTTAATTGGTACTTGTAGGTAATGAGCTATTCATTATGGTGTGTAAATCCATGGCCCAGATACTTGTGTAGATGGTTTTTTGTCCGTTGAACAACAAACCACAGAATGTAAAATACGCGTATTTTTGTGTTCCCGTGTTGATGATATATTCCCGAGCGAGTACTCGAGTATCGCTCGATAAAACCAACGAGTACTCGAGTATCGCTCGATAAAACCAACGAGTATTCGATTAGTAATTGTTCACCGAGTTGACATCCCTAGTTCGTGAATTAAGCCAAAAACTATCGTTTAAATTTCAGTATTTTATTTTAATTGTACTAGCCATAATTGTTACCAGGTAGTAACAGAATAATGGAAGTTTACAGAATAAATGCTATGCATTATCACTAAAATAACATTTGATTATGCAGTTTCAAAGGGAAATATTTTAGAAGGACAATCTACAAAATGATGACAATGACGGACACCCAGTGTTTGTATAACCTCAAAAGGCTCTTAAGAGCCACACGAGGAAAGATCTTTGAATCATATTCAGAAAGATTTGTTTGTACCTTTTGTCTTCGCGACACACACTTTGATGGTTGCTAGTCATTTTCCACAATATGATAATGGCTACAAAATAATTGTGTCACTATATTGACCACTGTTGAAAACCTACATATATGCCTGGAAACAGTATTTGTATTTCAAGTCATAACAGGAGCCAAAGTGGCTAGTGATTAACTGAAATTCATATGAGTAAAATCATTTTTTATCTTTCACCGAAAACAAAAACGGTGATAAATTTTCACCCTGCCTAACACCAACTCCACAATTGAAGAAAGTTGAACTTTGGTTACCATATCGAATACATGTCTTTATATTTTGATACGTATTACAGATAACTGTAAACATTTTCCCAGTAATGTGAGATTTTTGTAACTTTTGCCATAACCCTGTTCTCCAAACAGTGTCAAATACTCTCTTGAAATCCACAAAAGTTCAAAATAATGTTTTGCCCATCGAAAAAAATATAGATAAAATTGAATGCAGCACAAAAATGTTATCGGTAGTTAAAAATCCTTTTCTAAATCCAGCCTGAGATTCTGATATAAGTTCAACTTCATCTAAGAAACTATTTAATCTCTCATTTATTATTGATGAAAAAGTCTTTCCTAAACAAGAGTTTAATGTTACACCTCTATAATTTGCAGGGTCTGCTTTGGAACCTTTATTCTTAAAAATAGGAATCATTATACCAAGAGACCATAACTATGGAACTATACCCGTATCTAATACTAAATTAAAAAGTTTAACATACATTGGCATAAAGTGATATACGGTAGATTTTATATATTCATTAATTATTTTTGTCACATCCGCCAGCTTTATCATTTTTTAAGTTTTTTGCACTTTTTAAAATCTCGTTTTCGGTTACAGCACCATTCAATAAGTTATACAATTCATCTGGCAAATTATGTACATTAAAATTAACCTCTGGTTCCTCAGTATTTGAGTCACATCTATTCATATCTTTGAAAAAGTCATATAGAGCTTCAATAGAAAGTTCAGGATCTACGCCTTTTTTATCTGACCCAATACTATTGAGAATATTCCAAAACTTTTTACTATCTGATTTTTTGGTCTGACGTAACTCATTGCCAATATTTCTTTGGTACAGTTCATATGCTTTAGAAAGTTCAATTTTGTAGTTTTTGCTTGAATTTTTCATTTGTTTTCGATTTTCAGCGTTTGTTACAAAACTGTACCTTTTCCGCGCTTTGTGAAATTTTTTTCTACTATCAAAACATTGCTTGTTAAACCAAGGTTTTGTATCGCTTTTTGGTTTGCGATTTTTAAACGGCTTATATTTACCAAAAGTTTTCGTAGCAACTGATTGAAAAAAGTTGCTGATTCTCTCTACAACTTTGTTCATCTCATTTTGATGAATCCCTTGTTGTACCTCTACATTGTCTAATTCTAACAGTATTTGTTCTGACAATCATGATCACTTTTAACATTATCTAAAAATTCTGATCACGTTTCTTCTCTCCATATATTTTTCACTACCCAATTGAGAGAGTTCGTTATTACTATTATATAAAATCAATGGAGCTTGAAAAACTAAATGTAATTGACATTAGAATATAGCAAAGTGCTCTCGACCAATGAAAGTGTAGAATTTGGTGTTCCTTAATTGTGAAGAATGAATGTAAATCATGTTCTTAGTAAGGGATTATCCTTTTGTTTAGGCCTATTTACAGTTCAAAACAAAGGATTTGTATAAATGAGTTACAACTGCCTGAAGCATATTTATTAGGATTATTGATTTAAAGTTGAATTTTGAAACAAACAAAAATGATCAAAATAAGTTTGAAGTTTACTTGTGCAGTACAATTGATACCGTTTGTGTTATCATGTGAATACTTAGAACTTTCAAATTACAAAAAAATAAGCAATATCAAGAAGAAAAAGAAAAAAACTTTTAAAATCAAATATAACCTAAATCTTTAGCTACGTGTGTTACGCTTATCAAAAGTCAGACAACTGTATTCGCAGTTTATAGTAAGAATAGACATTTCCAAAATACCGGTACATACAGGAAATTGAATTTACTTTTGAATTTCCTATAAAAAGCAATTCCTTTCAAAATTTAAAATCTAGTTAACTAAGTAGTATTTAATGTAAAGAGCTGGAAAAAAATTGGCCGTGGAATACACTTTAGTTGTAACTCTGATTTTGAATTTATCTAATTGAACTGTAGATAAACAAAAAGATAATCCCTCACTAAAATATTACATAATTTACACTCATACTCACAATTAGGAAACTTAAACAATTTCTACAATTTCATTGTAACGTTGTGTCAACTAATGTCTAAAACACAATTTATTAAAATTTCCCAAATTAAAAGTAAGTCCACACATCACTAAGACCAATACACAAATGAAATGCCTAAAAGGGAAGTCATCCATTAATTATAAACATTTCACGGACAATGAAACAAATTCTTGAATAAAACCAATCAAGAGATCATTTGAGCCTTGAGCACTTTACAATATTCTAAGTTTGTAAGAGAATGATAATCACTTTCATCATGATAAGTACTCGCTAACGCTCGTACTTAATCATGAAGAAAGGGATTATCATTCTCTTACATATACATGGACATCTGAGATCAATGGATCAAATTCCTTTATATCGAACTCTTTAACAACTGGAAATAAATTTGATGACAATAATAAGTAGTCAATAACACTTGTCTCATAACAAGTTTTTTTTACCAATACCTCTATCATTACCTACTCTAGAGTTTGCTATTCATGTTATTTCTTTTACATACATTTAAAAGTTTGTGCCCGTAATTATTTGGTGCACAATCACAACTTGTAACTCTGTGTAATGGAATACTGTTTCTAGGTAAATTGTCGTAATCAAACATATATCCTCGTCTGAGCTAAATTAAAAAATATCAGCTAAATTTTCGTCCGGTATAATATAGTCTGGTAAACTACCAGTTTTGGCATTAAAATCACCAAAAAGAATACAATTTAAACTGTCTATGTTTTTTTATATTTAGCATCTCATTTTCTACTTCATCAAATGATTCACTTGTTGAATATTTCGAATTTGCAGGTGGAATATAAACACAACCTAATAGACAATCAGTTTTCTGGTTTATAATAAGTTTTGAGATCTTGACCCACTGTATAATTTCACAATCTGTATTTAAAAAGTTTAAATAACCTTTTAACTGATTTCTATACATAACAATAATTCCCCCCTGATTTTCTTTTACATTTTTTTCTAATTTTAGAATAATACATATAGTCATCAGGTATATTTAATAAATCAGTGTCAGACAGTTTTGTTTCTGTAAACAGACAAATATCATATTTTTTTATCATCTCTGTAAATTCCGGACATAACAATTTTTGTTTTATACCACAGACGTTAAGAAAACAAAAGTCAAACGAAGTCAACAAGTTCAGGTCAATAACGTCATGTCTGATACTAAATACATAAAAACTGGTGTACCACAAGGCTCTCTCCTTGGCCCTCTGTTATTTATTTTTATATATCAATGATTTACCACTGAACATAGAAAATTAATTAATAGATTTAGATGCAGATGATTCTACTTTACATAGTAAAGGTAATAATGTACATGAGTTGATGCTAACCTTCAAAATGATATTTATCCCAGCCGGCATTTCAACGTTGAAACAACGTTGAATCAATGTTGATTTGTAACGTTCAAAAGACGTTGAATTAACAGTTGGTTTTGAAAGTTGACACAACGTTGAATATCTGACGTTCAAACAACGTTATATTTTCGACATTGGATCAACGTTGATTTTTGATTGAATATAGGTTGAAACTTAACATTGAAACAACGTCACCCTTATATTGCAACAACATTGTTTCATGTTGAAATAAGCATTTCGTTGCTTGTTGTTGGTTCATCTGTCATATGTGTTTGTCGTTACACAATAAGGCGGTTGTTTTTTTCTCGTTTGAATTGTTGAATTATTATGTCCGGGTCATCTATCGCAGATTACTAGTATACGGTGTGATGTTTGCTTATTGTTGAAGTCCGTTTAGTGACCTCCACGTCAATTGGATATTTGTCTCATTGGCAATCATACCACATCTTCTTATATCTATATTAGTTAGTAACCACACAAGCTATTGAAGCCACATGACACTACAGAGGACAACAGCAAGATTTGAAGAAGAAAAAAAGTACAACAGATGTCAAGTATGACAAAATCTCATATAGCCAAAAGGTGATCTGGTAAATGAATACAAACAATCTCTTAATTCATTTTTAATATTGTCGTAAAAAAGAATTGTAGTCTCTAAACTCCTCCAACCATTTCTGGTGCACAATCCTTCTTTAATTCAGCTTCTGTTATTTTTGTGTAGGCATCCATTACTCTTCCTGAAAAAAAAAAAACAAACACATATAATATTTTGTAAACATGAGTTAACAATTACGTAGAACGTCGAAGGCAGGAAATAAAATGTTATAACGGCCAGTTTTTTTTTTTATAATTTACTGTTTTACATAATAGCCGATCTTTTTTTTACCATTTTTCGCTCCTGTACATGTACAATGTAGCAATGCCACCTATCTCGAGCACCACAATCTATTGTTCAAATGTCACCTATTTCGAGCACCAGGATCTATTGTTACAATGCCACCAATCTCGAGCACCAGGATCTATTGTAACAATGCCACCCATCTCGTGCACCAGGATCTATTGTAACAATGCCAACCATCTCGAGCACCAGGATCTATTTTAATAATGACAACCATCTCGAGCACCAGGATCTACTGTTAAAATGCCACCTATCTCGAGCACCAGGATCCATTGTTAAAATGCCAACTATCTCGAGCACCAGGATCTATTGTAACAATGCCACCAATCTCGAGCACAAGGATCTATTGTAACAATGCCACCAATCTCGAGCACCAGGATCTATTGTATTAATGCCACTCATCTGAAGCACCAGGATCTATTATTAAAATGCCACATAACTGAAGCACCAGGATCTATTGTACAAATGCCACCTATTTAGAGCACCAGGATCTATTGTAACAATGCCACTCATCTCGAGCACCAGGATCTATTGTAACAATGCCACCCATCTCGAGCACCAGGATCTATTGTAACAATGCCACCCATCTCGAGCACCAGGATCTATGGTTAAAATGCCACCTATCTCGAGCACCAGGATCTATTGTTAAAATGCCACCTATCTCGAGCACCAAGATCTATTGTACAAATGCCACCTATCTCGAGCACCAGAATCTATAGTAACAATGCCACCCATTTCGAGCACCAGGATCTATTGTTATAATGCCAACCATATCGAGCACCAGGATTTATTGTTAAAATGCCACATATCTCGAGCACCAGGATCTATTGTAAATGCCGACTATTTCGAGCACCAGAATCTATTGTTAAAATGCCACCTATCTCGAGCACCAGGATCGATTTTTAAAATGCCACCTATTTCCAGCACCAGGATCTATTGTAACAATGCCAACCATTTCCGGCACCAGGATCTATTGTTACAAAGACACCTGTCTTAATGATTGCAGAGGTTATGTTTTAAATTTGATATGAATTAAAAAATATAAATACAAATCAAATCAAATAAAATGTCTTTACTAGTATTCCTAATTAAAGGGCCCATATAGAGCTCATAAATCAATACAATCACAAAGTGCATACAGTATCCACACAAACAACACATGCAATACAAATACAAATATTTTATTTATTAGCACAAACTCATCAACAATAAATGGTTAAGGCTCATGGTATATTAATTACATAGTTGATCATACATAATAAGTATTGCAAATAATGACTATATTAATATGTAATATTATAAACAATGATTATGAATTAGACATATTGACAATTTTATAGAGTTTGTTCTGCTTTACGCAGGTTCAGACTGTCTGAAATGAAAGAGGAAGTCAATTTTAGGATTGTGTATGAATTATTATTTAATAAAAAGATTACATTATTTTAATTTTTTTGAAATTTTGTAGGATCAACGATTATATTTGAAACATTTTGGTACAATATGGCCCTTTTAGTTGAGTATTTTTCACAATGTAAAAGAAAATGATTTTCGTTTTCAATTTGACCAGAATTACATACAGAGCAGTATCTTTCATTTCTGGGAATATTTAGATGTCTCCCTCTTTCAATCATCAGTATATGAGCGCTTATACGGATCTTACATATTGCAGCTCTGTCACTTCTGTTTTTCAATATATCAACATAGGGTGGTCTTCTGCCCATTATGTAGACACTCTTGAAAAAGTCTAACTTTTTTGATTCAAATATATTTGCATTTTGAACTTGCAAACATTGGTCATTAATTCTTTGTTTAATGGAATTTAAATTACCTTTAACATAATTAAAGTTATTGATGATATAAGACATTCCAAGTCCATTCAAAAGACTCTTGACCTTTATGACCCAAGGGTTTGAATCTACAGATTTAGTGAATATATCATATGCCAAAGAATTTTCCGAAGAAACTATATGGTTCAGGTAGTTGAATATTGAATATAATATTTTATTTTTCAAGGGAATTCTATTAAGTTCGGCTCGACATCCATCATAAGTTGCCTTACAGTGAACCCCTAATATATCTTTGATAAATTTAACATGAAGTTTTTCAAAGGGATCAGAGTCCTTAAAATGTGAATCCACCCCCCAAATTTCACTACAATATGTAAGAATGGGAGTAACTAAACAAACAATTTTTCAAGAAGTCTACATGGGTTGTTGAGACCTATAGTTTTCTTTATCTTATAGTATGCCTTCCTGGCTTTTTCCATTAGAGTATTCACAGCAAGGCAAAAATTGCCATTATACTTTAAAACAATACCCAAGTAACAATAATTTGTAACCGTTTCAAGATATGCATTATCATAGGTAAAATGGTTTAACAATGTCTTGTTATTAGAATTAAATATCAAAATTTTTGATTTATCAGTATTAACTTGTAGTTTCCATGATGAACAATATTCATGTAAAATATCAAGAGATTTTTGTAGACCCTCTTTGCTTTCAGATAGTAAAACAATATCGTCTGCATATAAAAGAATGTTCAAAGAGGTATCCCCAATGTCAATTGGATCCGTATGTTTGTTATCAAGATTACCTACTAGTTCATTTATAAAAAAGTTAAAAAGAAGGGGACTCAATATGTCACCTTGTTTAACACCCCTTTCTGATAGGAATGGAGGACTCAGCCCATTAGAGAATTTTATTCTACATACTGTATCAGTATACATTGAATAAATAACATTAAACATTTTTTGGGGGATATTACGTTATCAAATGCCTTTTTTAAGTCTATGAAGGCAGCAAAAACTTTTTTTCTTTTTTTGTCTATATTGATCAGTTATGGTCTTAAGAGTGAATATGTGGTCAGCTGTACGACTTTTCTCTTTAAAACCAATTTGATTTTTACTTATTAAATTTTTGATATCCATAAATTTTACTAAACGTTTATATAAAACCTTATTGAAAAGTTTACCCAGGTTGGAACTAATAGATATAATATAGTTCCCTGGATCAAATTTGTCCCCTTTCTTATGCAAGAGAACAATTAAGCTTTCATTCCATATTCTCGGAAATTGACCAGATTCGAATATGCTATTAAAGAGTTTGTGAAGTGGTTTTATTAAAGTAGGGATTGCATTTTTCAACATTTCATTTGAAATCATGTCAGCTGATGTGCTTTTGCCATTTTTAATTAAACGAATAGCTGTTACTATCTCTTCAATTGTTATCTCTGAACTCAAGTGAGCCAAGTCATCTGTAACATGTGATAAATTAAACTTTTCTTTTAGAGAGTCAAAATCTTTAATAATTTTAGAATGAGAACTATTGTGGTTTATGTCACAGCTATTTAATTTTTTATAAAACTGGATGAAATCTTCTTGTGGTAAAGATTCGTTTTGTTGGTTATTACTTTTTTGTCTACTTAATTTATTCAAAATGTTCCAAAACATCTTTGGGTCTTTCTCACATGTATAAAGTTCTGAAAATATATCTTTTTTGTATTTATTTTCTTCATATTTACATAGACGTCTAAGTCTAGATCTGCAAGATTCAGAAAACCAAGGTCGTCTTTTTGACCTATTTTGATTTTTATTTCTGACTGGGACTTTCTTAATTAGTTTAGCAGATTTCAAAGCATTTTCATATAGTATAGTATTAAATGAATTTACTGCTGATTCAGAGTCTTTAAAAGTGGATTTTAAAAACTATTCAAATTTGTTTTTACTCTCTATACTGTTACTATTTAATGTGTAGAGATTAATTGCTTCAGGGGTCCATATAAACTTATTTGGGATAGGATCCAACTGATATTGGGGTGTATTTTGAGGCATAATAAAATCTATTAATAAAGAACAACTTATTGTACAATGATTTGACAAAGAAGTGAAGTCATGTACTTCAAAATAACCAACTATATGTAATAATTCTTTAGACACAAGCATATTATCTACAACACTACATCCATTGTATGTAATACAAGTGTGCTTACCATGTAAATCGCCTATGGTTCTACCATTTAGTATTCTAAGGCCTGATTCCTTACATAAATTCAGTAGATACTTTCCACTATTGTTGACAAGTTTGGTGTCAAGGTTATTCATTGGTATATTTTGATCAGAAATATATTGTAAATCATCTCGATTTGAAGTACAAGAATTATCAAAGGCAACAAAATCTGGTTTTGTATTAGTATAGGCATTGAAATCGCCTTGGACTATAATGTGCCCTAAATTAGAGTATTTAACAACATCAGCTAGTAGCTTGTCATAAATGGGTTCTAACCCGGTAATGTTCGTGCTCGAATTTTCTGGAGACATATATACTGTAGCAATATATATGTCCTTATCTTATTTAAAAAATTTATGGTCCATTTTGATCCAAAGGATATCAGTGTGATATTTTGGTAATTTTTTTATTCCTTTTGAAATGGAATTTTTAGCAAAAATATTTATTCCACCAGAATTGCGTCTGGCTTTATGATGTTTTTTTCTATTATTACTGTCAACAAAGCAGAAACCTGGGATACTTATTTCATTTACATCAACATCATTTGTCCAAGTTTCAATAAAGCTTATAATCTGAAACTGTGAAATAATTTTGTTAAAATGGGGGTAATTGATCTTGTCAGTGGTGAGACCCTCAATATTCCAAACAGCAGTTTTTAGTAAATTTGTACACATTTTACAATTTTGATTTGATAAAACCCATTAATTTAAGATGATGGAACAACACAAACAAAATTATTACACTAAGTAGCATATATGTAAATATGCTTTAAACATTTTATAGTGATCTGATACATGATATTTCTTAATTCTACATGTATGTATAACTTATATATATTTGTTTATGTTTTGGTTGTATGTAATATTATGGCATACTTAATGATACATGTATGGTGATGCAAGATATAAAAGAGATTATGTACAATAAAAGAAGGAAAACATATATGAACCTTTTGGTATTTATAACATATACCGGTTCTTTGGGTACTTTCCAATTAAAAAGTAAACAAATGTTTAACATCGGGTGTTTTAGTTAAACAACTAAAGTATTGGCTATTGATGTTTATCTGTATTTTTTTTATCTTTAAATGAATTTTAAATTTAATAAAATGTAATTCAAAGAATTAAAGATATTTTTTTTATCAGAAAGAAAATTATATGAATATTAAAACTTGCAAAAAGGGTGGATTAATCTGTGGGAAAAAAGTTTTAAGTTTTGAAAAATCAAAAGTAAAAATGAAAAATATATAACCTATAATTTTAACTTCATAATTTGAAAAAATCATCTATTGTTTACATGTACTTATGAATAAAACAGGTATTAGACAGTTAATGTTGTACTTGATTGAACTGACGATAAGGTTGCCACATCCAAGGGACTTGCCACGGCAATATGTTGGGCGGCGGTTGACCCCATGGGGGACACAAAGCTTTATCATGTAGCATCGGACCCCACGGTGGACTTGGGGGGTTTTCTGGTGGCATCGGACCCCACGCTGGACATTGGGGATTTTCTGGTATCATCTGACCCCACGGCGGATACATAGTGTTTTTGGGTAGAATTGGAGGCGGTCTATCCATAGAATTGTCAAATGCACTGAATCTTTGACTAGTGTTTGGTTGCCGGCGAGAAAAGTTTATACCTCCTGCAGCGATTGGTTGTTGGTTAGCATGATTAGAACGTGAAGGTCTGTTCCCATACATGTTCATTGCTGTTTTAAGGTGTTTTACGATTTCAGGGAGACCTTGTTTACTGTTTAAATGAACCTGGTCGTAAAACATTTCATCTGTTGGTTCAAACTTTTTTTATTAATGTTATCTTTTGAAATTTCAAGCATTCTGTGGCTAGGATTTCGTTGGCATCGTGTACTCTTCCATCAGCCATGTCCTTCCTTCGAATTATAGGTAAAACAAATATTTTAGCATTTGGCCAAATTTGTGTTGTAGTGTGAAAAAGGTTTTCAAATTCCTTATTTTTAACTCCATTGTTCTGCAAATCCCTCGTTCCTTTGCTGATAAGGACATGCTGTGGTTTTATGTTTTTGCCGTTTTTCTCTATGAAAATGGAACAGGTTTCTGCTCCCCCTCTTATGTATCGTTTTATTGTTTTTCCATCTGGAGAAAATTTTTAGGAATAATTCTTCTGAGAATCGAGTCACTGAGAATGAGATAATCGCATTCTGACACTCGAACATTTTGAGTATAAGATTCACTTGTTCTCTTTTCTCTTTGTTCATTAATTGATTCTTTTGAGTTGCATCTTGAATTCATGCTTGTATTTATTTCCTCTAAACGTGAAATGCGATTATTGAATTCTGCAATTTTATTCGAAATTGACTCCATACTGTCATTGTTCTCTTCTCGGAAATCAATAAGAATTTTTTCATTATTTTGCAATTTCTCAATTATGGTATCTTTATTCAATGCAGATTCTTTTAACTGCGAGTCAAGAAGATTCATTTTCAATTGAAGAGATTCCAGAGACTGATTGCAGTGTTTTATTTTATTGTCAAAATTTTCACATATTTGATTTTTTTGGTTCGATGATATTAAGTCTGGGACAAATCCTTTGATGTCTGGCACGATAGTGTCTGTTGCATTCTTGAGGTCGGTTAATTTGTTTACAAATAACTTAAAGGAAATGTCAATAGTGGTCAAAGTTGCTGTAAGTGTGTCGAGTTTAGAGCTCAAAACTTGGCCGTGTTTCGCAATCTTTTCCTTTGGAGTTTCTACTTGATTGTCTTGGTTTTTTTTTTGTACCCTCTTTCTTTCCTGATTGGGGTAGATGTGTTGTTGACATTTGCAAGGGATTTTGCAAATGTAAAAGAAGTGTCACTGAGATTGTTTTCATTTGGAAGATTTTTTTCAATTGTAGATTGTTCAATTTTAGTATTATCTTAACTTAAGCTAGGATCATTTAAACTCTCATCATTTCCACTTTTTTGTAATAGGGAACTGGCTGGTGATTTCACTATGTTCTTCAAGGTTTCGAAATATGTTTCGCTAAACTGTACACATTTGGCACCCTGAATCACAACGGAGCCCGTTTTATAAAAGTTAATCTTTATGGTGCAGTTTTTGTCAGTACCACAGTCACATAAAATTTTGATAACTGCTTTTTCCTTTAAGAAGGTAGTTTTTTCTGTTCCAAAATAATGCACAATTGCATTTTTCCAGTGTTCAATCTTTTCAGGCAGTGTTCTGAACGTGACATTGTTTGTTTTACCATTAACTTGATGGCAGGGCATTGGTTCTTCTAACTGACAGTCTGTGTATTTGTTATTCGAGTTTATATCTGTACACTCGTCAAATTCATTACCTGTCACACAATTCTGGAATTTTAATGGTGGTTTAATTTCCCTCGGCACCGCCATTTTTATCACGTTATGTTAGGTGTAAATATTTCAAGGACTGTCAGTGTTAATTATCGACCTTTGTGTTATAAATTGAAGAACTGTAACTATTTTTAACTATTTCATTAATTTATGGAGTTCCATTCATCAAATACCATGGGTTTTATGTGTATTTAAGTGCAGCATGTGAAAGGCATGGGCGCATCCATTACCGGAAGTCTATACAATCTCACATACATACTGATTATTGATAATAAAAAATGTTAAGAATTAAAAATAAATACATACCTTGACAGCTACTACCTCTTTCAAGGATTTGTATAGTATTAATATACAAATCCTTGCCTCTTTCCTTGAATCCTTTTCCCCTAAAACTCTTTAAGTTACTGCTCTGTCCCTAATATCTGTGCAAAAAATAAGAATAACATCGATAATCGCCAAGCAATATTTTAAATTTGTAAAATTCGATTGAAGACTAAAAGAAATAATTAACAATTTCAGAGCATAGTTGACAATAATAAAAAAATTTGATAATGGATGACGGATTAAAATTTTAGATAAAAAAGGGGGAGATATGATAATCTTACTTGGCAAATTCGGAAAAGTTCCTTGTCTTTAACAAATGAGCAGTAAAGAACTAAAATAAACTGTATGTAGACTGAGTATGCTGTTTCCAGATTATAGTACATATTTATATAGAAGTGCAGTCATAAATTTGGAACGTACAACAAAAAAGACAATGGACACACTGAAGTCAGAAATGATATCTCTACAACATTCAATATAGCGAGATTTTCAGAATATAACGCGTTTTTGCATTTATAATCTCCCATTGTTAACATCGCACAAGCATTGAAAGACAATTAATACAGCAACGGATAATAATTAAGGAATCACTGACATTTCTATGAATTATTCTTTCCTGAAAACGGTCCTAAAATTGTCCAGGAAAATTGTACAATCTTCTGTGTTTGTATCACACTTCATGATCGCTGCCGCGTTTGAAAAAGGCCGTCACACACGTGCGATCATACATTAATCAGCATCATGTCACGTGATAATATTATCAATAGATTATTGGGAGTGCCAATCCTCGTGTATCTGTTGTGTATATGCCGCACTTTCACATGTTGTGTCTTATCTCTGATTAAAATATTTCCGGATAATAACAAATTAGTTAGTAGCATATTTCGACGAATGATAATTAATATTTTTGTATACTTTTATGATTTTAATAAACGACCCGGTTAGACGTCGGTTTGAGATTTAATTATATTTCTTTGGAAAATTCCTGATTTTACCAGATATTGTACAAAAAAATTAAAAGGCGACATTGATAACAATTTACATAGCAAAATCCTTATTTGTAAACTTTTGTTGATGCAACAACAAACGATGTACAACTATGATGATTCCTCTTTAAAACTGATGGTGAATATTTTTTTACATCTTTTTTCTCGACGAACCTCCATCGTTGACATGTCAACCAACATTAAACGTTAAAACAACATATTTCTTTCAACCTAACTTCAACATTAAAAATTCAACTAAAATTCAACGTTGAAACAACATACTTTCTGCAACCGATAACTTCGACGTTGCTGTTACAACGTTACAAGCAACGTCATGACAAAATATCAACCACATTTCAACGTTGAAATGACGTTGCGTGCCGGGTGGGATATTATTGAAAACTGGTGTTCGCAAAATTGTATGAAACTAAATGCCAAAAAATGTAAATCAATGATTATTGGTTTAAAACAGAGGCTTTATTCAACTGGGAAAGGTTTAGATATCAATATTTCAGATGAACAAATAGAGAATGTAGATTGTGAAAAACTTCTTGGTTTATATATCGACAAAAACCTAAATTAGAATGAGCAAATAGATAAAATGTCAAGTACAATATCAAATAGAATCAACTTATTACAAAAGAAAAGAAAGTATTTACCTATGCATATACGTATTATTTATTTTAATGCTTATATTCTGCCATTGTTTGATTATTGTTGCAATATATGGGGTAGCTGTTATGAAAGTGGAATAAATAAACTTAATAAGTTATTAAAGAAATCTGCTAGGGTTATAGTAGAAGCTGACATAATGACATCATCCAGTTTATTGTTTAATAGTTTAAACTGGTTAAATGTGGGAGAATGATTTCAATATCAAAAGGCAATACTTGTATTTAAATCATTAAAGGATATGGTTCCTAACTATTTACAAGAAAACTTTCATTTTACTGATAATCAAGATTATAATTTACGCTCAGCTGATGAAAAACTATTAAATCTTCCGAAGCCAAAAACTAATTTTTTGAAGAAAACATTTACATATTCTTGTTCTCAAATATGGAACAGTTTACCAAATGAAATAAAGATGAGTAATACACTTGTATCTTTTAAAACAAAATGTTACAAATTTTTCATAAATTGTGCAAATTAACATGCTTTTTCATTAATATCTATATACAATTGTATATTGTGTATATACCATTATAATATAATAGTGTATGTACTTTATAAATATGTTATTGTTATTTTTGAAGACTCTCAGGAAGATTAGTTTTAATTAATGGGATTATCCTCTTGAAATAAAGATTATTTATTTATTTATTTATTTATTTGTCCAAGGTTATAGTTGTCTTTCTGATATTATTTTACATCTCACCCCATTTTTTTATTCATTTTGTATTTACATTGTGTCATAAATCAAATTTATTCGTTCAGTGAATGTTTACTTGTTTTTGTTAACATGTCTTTTGATTGAGTTAAGCCATTTCAATTGATATTTTATAGTTTGTCTTTCTATGTTGTGATGTTACGCTATTATTTCAGGTTAGGGTGAAGGTTGGCGCGTGTTAAAACGTTTAAACCCGCTGCATTTGTTTGCACTTGTCCTAAGTCAGGAACCTGTTGTTCAGTGGTTTTCGTTTGTTGATGTGGTTCATAAGTGTTTCTCGTTTCTCGTTTCTCATATAGATTAGACTGTTGGTTTTTCCTGTTTGAATGGTTTAACACTAGTCATTTTTGGGGCCTTTTATAGCTTGCTGTTCGGTGTGAGCCAAGGCTCCGTGTTGAAGGACGTACTTTGACCTATAATGGTTTACTTTTACAAATTGTGACATGGATGGAGAGTTGTCTTATTGGCACTCATTCCACATCTTCTTATATCTATTTAGCAAATATTACTGTAAGCAACTGTGTGCATGTGCAGGAAACAATTTACAGTGAGAAATATTCGGTGCCCAAACCAGTACAATTTTGCCTATAACTCAATTGTTCAAGATACCGGTATAAAGGATATCAACACTGCCTGGCGTACCCACCACCAATTTAAAATCGCATCGGCAAAATTGTCACATCCAATAATAAGCTAGGGATTCTATCCCAGCAGGGTGCTCAATTTAAATATGAAGCACAAGTAGCATTTAAGTAATTTACTATTATACTTGCAGGGATCTGTTCAATCACCATACTATATATATATATATATATATAGGTTTGAACGTTGTTTTCAATTTAGACTTGTTTATATATATATATATATATATATATATATATATACATTTGGACTCCCATTTAAGGCACACATGTTATTACGACAATAATGCACTAATCTATGTACAACACTGTAAAATTTTACTGCACTGTGGCATTTACTAAAATCTAAAAGCAGTTCACGTGCCATCGATATATCAATGTTATTATTACAATCTGATATTCAGCATATAAGTTCTTACTTTTTATTGTTCATTCTAAGCCAACAGGCACATCTTTGTAGGTACTTTTCATAAGTCGCCTTACACTGCACCAGTAGACTTATAAATCCTACTTCAATAAAGAGACACAACAAATTGAAAAAGGGACAAAAAAAAACAAACAAAATTTAAACTCATAGCAAAAGTTACCTAATATATTGATACCTATATTTTGATTAGGCATATAGAATTTACCTTATACCTTACTAAAAATCATTGCAAAGAGTTATTTAAGTGATCTGCTTATTTCACTCAATATTACAACTTAACCATTTAAATAAACCCTTAAGCTTCACTCTTACAGGCTGAAATATAAGTACTGCAAAAATATGGATACAAAGCAAGCCTATTCTTAACATTAGATTGTCAATTAAAGTCTTAACTGTTAATTTTTAAAAGTATTAACTTAATAAATTTATTTAATATTATGTTATCAAATGGTTTTAAATGACATTCTAATAGAGATGTCCAATAAAATGACATTACTCGACATAACCAACCTATCTGACCGTATCTCGTTCTAATGCATTAGAGGATGACGGAGGGGAGCATATACTGCATGAATTTTTGGCATGTTGAATACACATAATTTGTTGGAATAGATGCTATTTAAAAATTAGCACAAACTACTAGTTTAATTCTATACATATTTTTGTTATTACATTTAGGATGTTTTTTTTTCATTTACAACAACCTTTAAAGCCAATAAAGGGAATAATTAATTCAGTTACTGGTAATCAAACGCACCGATAATTACTTCGTCATTTCACTTGACCCATATATTTATCTCTCAAACGATGAATTCTTAAAGCTACTAAATCAAAATTAAGTTTGAAAAAATAAAAATAATGAAATCTGAAGCGAGATCATATTCTCATTTTTGATTTTAAAGGTATAAGATTAAAACAAGAGCTTCAAACACACCGGAATGTAAAAGGTGTACATGACTTGCTGCTTCTTTTTTTTTTTAAGCATACTTCTATAATTTATTTCAAGATACTTTTGTCAAAGGTAAAAATTCAGATCACTGATACATCTTTCTGATAGTACTTTGTCACCTTTCCGTAGAATTTTATCAAATGGAATTTATGAGGACGCATCTTCAAGAAAAATATGATATCACTTTACTGAATCAGTTTATTTTTTTATATCTTGTCTTATAATGATGTTTGGATTCTATGAAGAGCCAGTACAAACGTATGCGTAGTTTAACGTCATTGCTCTTAAATTGATTTTCTAAAATGTTTGGCGTTTAACTTATACAAATATGTTTGAAAAACGGACATATACGGAATATTTGATTTAAGTTTTATTAAGTAGAATGATCATTTTAGTTTTATGACCAACTACTGATAGCAAGGGATATTATATTTACTGGTCTGTGCATCCGTCCGTTCTTCCGTTCTGTTCACAATATGAAACGTTTAAAATTATATACCAAATTAGAGCTTGACCCGGATAAAGTGGTGCACTGAACATGGAAATATGATCATGTGAAGGGGCACGGTGTCTTAAGGCGACACATTATTGTTTCAAATGTTTTGATTAATACACGTACATGTACATTTGTATATGTATCTTCCATATTCATATCTGTCTCTTTGGTCGCGTGCTCGCCTCGGCAGTAAGCCTTCTAAGGTGATCTGGGGAATAGGAATATGGTCACTATTGGTCTTGTTCCGATCGGCAGTAAAACCATTGTCAAAACGGGGAGTCCGTTTGGTTGTGCGGGATGTACAAGTACGCAGTCCCGTCCGGTCAGAGTGGGGACGTTAAATCCGATGCCTCTAGTACAGTAGTAGAGAGAATGCCAAGTTCCCTACACGTTAATTATGCATGAAATATTTGCGGCTGAACGTTATGCAACCAACTATCAATCAATCGACAGGAGCGTAACTTGTATTTTATTTCGTGTGAGGCAAATGATTTGAATGTTGACAGTCAAAGCCTCACCTTGGTTAAAAAACGTCAATGCCAATAGGGAGTGGACGGTTAATTGAAAATATGAATCGAAAAATAGGTGTAGGTGATGCATATTCTTGATAGGTCACACACTGGCAAAAAGATTCTGTCTATGTAAAATCCAGATTTGTGGAATTTTATCATATAACAATATTTCTTGTGCGCATTAAATCAATATATTCCAATGAAACTGCTGGTTAAAGGTTAAATTCTCAGTATTCAGTTACAGACAGGTCCTGATCAAAACAAAAATAATTGACAGAATTATATGTATGACCTCCTCTACAATGCTTCTGTACAGATCTGGGGATATTAAGTTTAAGATCCACTATGTTTTTTAACTTTATACGTTTAGCTTTTGTCAAAATATATGGATGATAATAACTGGGTGAACTATGAAGTCTTGCTTATATTAACCAAGATAGAAGAGTATTACATAAAATGTAGGAATGCCAAGTACCTGTTGAAAACTTTGTCCACCAAACGTAACAAGTTCGTTGTCAAAAACAAATCAAGCATCATATCAGTTTCACAGTTATGACCTCTTGTTTGTATCAGTTTTTTGCG